GTGGTGGCGACCCGCGACCATGGAGATATAAACAGCTTTTTATAAGGTAAAAATAATATAACAAGGTCTTTGTCTGCAATGATTAGACATGTTTTTTTATTATTGTCATTAGTGATTATCTCAGTTTCGGCTAAAAGACTTGACAAAATCCTACACACTGTGCCTTTAAAAAACCTGCTGAAGTGGGAGTGTAGGTAGGAGGTTCTTAAAGGGACAGAGGCCAGTTTTAAGGTGTTTAGATGGTGTTTCTGGTTTTAGATAAAGTTGTTCCATTATTCGTCACATTTGTTTCTCATCTGTTCTTTCAGGATCTTTGGCTTTCCCAAGCACTACACAGATGTGAACAACATGAGCCGGAGCCACAGGCAGCAGCTCCTGGGTAAATCCTGGAGCGTCCCGGTCATTCGCCACCTGCTCGCCCCACTGAAGGATTACTTTGAGTGTGAATCAGGACAGTGATGTGAACCTTTACATCACGGCTCGTCCTTCCTTACCTTCAGAGTTCTTAAAAAAAAACCTCACTCAGCATTTTAGATTTTAGCTCTTTTAATCATGTTTGTCTGTTGATCATGTTCGTCCACCACTCGCAGATTGTGGTCTTTTTTTTTTTTAGTGATGTTGGTGTGATGCTGACAATGGTGCTAAACACAGATCTGTGTCACAAAGTGGGAGAAGTTTAACTCTAACCATACTCAGGWTTTAAATTTCTRATTCATGTTTACAATCATGAAAAAGTGAAATAGAAGCTTCACCTCTCAGCTCAGCAAGTATTTGATGCTTTTAGTTTCAAATAAAATGCAGCAAAAATAGGTCTTGTTGATCAGCAGTGTACTGTAGTGTCAGCTCGATAAAACATAGTGTTATATGCACACTTGCTTGACTTTTTAACTAAACTTAGCACAAAACGTAAGAAATTAGTGTTTGGTAGATTGTTTCTTTATTGTAACAATGCTTCTTGGCAATAACTCTTATACCCTTAGAAAGCCTGCTAATTTCCTTTTTAAATGGTGCCACATTTATAAGGATCATGCCTTTGTGGGATGAGTAGTAGAGCTGAGTGTGTGGGTTGTGCCAAACAGTTTATTTTGTTGTTATTGACTCTTGTTTTGAGCTTCTGGTGCCTCCAGGTGCTGCCAATCAGCTGCCTGTGAGCTGAAAGTGAGGGCTGAACTGACATTCATCAGGTCTTAAAAACACAACTTTAAATGAAGTTGTGTTTATCTGGATATCTAACTGGTGCAGCAGGTTGTTTCAGTTCCAGGTGATATTTCAGATTTCTTGTTCCAAGTGGATAAAAATCACTCATTGCAGTCTTTATTCATTGACTTCATAAATTGTAGGTATAATTTATCTGCTATCATAAAAGAAAGGTTTTAAAAAGGGTTAGAACCAGCTGAACAAAAAGAGCCACTCCCCTCACTTTGTGAAACAGTATCTAACCTCCATCTTTACACTGATTTAAACATATTTCCAAATATTTGCTCATTTTTAAACACCTGACCTGTTTTACATTGTTTGCTTGAGACTTTCTAATCTTTAAGTTTGTTGGGATTCTGCTCCTCCTGATTCGATCGTCATTTGTGATTCATTTGAATGTTTTTACCTCCTGATGACACTTTTTAATCTTTTTTACTACTTTACTATCCAAATTGCTTTTATTTCACTGATGAAGCAGTACTTTTACCTAAAATGGCCTTATTAAGTTTAAAACTGGTCACATTTTATAACTCAAGGGCTGAAACATTTTGGTTTTGACTCATTTGTGACATTTGAAGCTTTTTTAATACATATTTAGTAGATATTTAGTTGTGAACCCATGTGTCACAAAACAAGACACATTTTTTTACAAGTTGTACTGTGACTGTTACAATTTTTACCCAAAGGTTTTTTTTTTATCTTTGTGGGTTCTTTTGTGAAAACTAAGTGCTCTGTAACAAATATTTTACAAAAAGCAAAGGAATAAATAGAAGCCATGAGAAGAAAAAGGGAATAACAAAAGAAAAAAGGTTTCAGAGCTGTAGAAAGTATTCTTACAATAAAAAAGAGGAACGAGTTAGTCTTGAGTATTAAAGATTCCTCATCATCTGTTTTTTTAACACTTTTTAATCATGTTGCTTTCAGTCGTAAACAAAGCAGCAATCTTGGTTTGAATTATTTTTACACTTTGTCCTCTTTATATTGGATGTAGAAGTCACTGAATGTTGAGTTTGTTTTAGTTTGAGGTAAATTACAGATGGAATTTGGATGACTGTGAAACCTGACCGCTTTTGAACCAAAAGCATTAAAAGCTTTGATTAACCTGTGAATAAATTCCTGCAAACAAATTAGAAAATAAGCATAGAGCTGCAAAGTAAGCCTTTAAAAATGGGTCAGTTGAGATTTTATTGCTCTTTTTTTCCTCAAAGTTTAGCAAAATAAAAATATAATTAGTTAGTTTTTAAAAAGTTGTATTTTACTACTGTTATTTTAGTTTTTCTTTGATTTATTAGGCTTATTTCTCCTGTTTTTTCCTGATATTTTCATCACGTATAAATCTTGATCATTCACTGTAAGCTAAAATACTAAAAAAATATTTCTTACATGCCTTTTTTTTTTTACTAATTAGTTTTTTTAGTTTTTAACTAGTTTTATATTTGAAAGGTAGAAATGAAAATGACACGAATCAAGTACTGGATAGCCAATCATGACTGAACATCAAGAACTCAGCCAACAGGCTTTGGACACATTTTTAGTATTTTTTTCCACTTGAACAGGTTTTAATGTTGATTTTTTTTTTAGAACAGTAAACAATGAAATTATTATCTTTGCTGCGAAAATTTGTGGATTTCAGATTTTGTTTAATGTTGACACCACCAGATTTGATTGTTACTTTTTACTTTAGGAAACTTCTGTCACTATCAGCAGTTTATCCAGGAAGCTGTGGCCTCATTGATTATTCATTAAACTAGTTCAGTGTAGAAGGTCCAGGATTTATGGTTCTTATTTAGGTTAGATATCATTTGTTTTGTTTTTGACAACAGCTGTTTTAGAAAAAAATAATGTTCTAAAAAGATCTGATGTCACTTCATTATGTGACGGTGCTGTTGGTGCTGATTTTGCATGTTTGTTCACTGTTTGTACTTCTGATTTAAACAGACGCATCTGAAAAACTCATTCTGTAGGTTTTTGTTTTGCAGTGTTTTTATCAGAAGTTTGTAGGAAACCTGTTTAATTTCATGTTAAATATCAAAAGACAATAAATGCCTGTGATTTAATGTC